CCTCCCACTCAAACCTAGACCTACAGTTTATAGTAAGATCCAAAACACTCCTCTGATGACATTGCTGCCTGTAGCCTACAAAGGAAGGCTGTGAGTCTCGAACCTATAATCGCTGTGTCAGTATTGCAATAATTAAGTACTGAAGTACTAAACCATACCGCCAACGAGCCACTTCAGCTCACAAGGAGCCAATTCAGATTTAGGAAAATATCGACTACTAAAGTTCCTTTTCTGAATGTGTACTTGCTTAGCTTAGTCCATAGTTTCACAGAATTACAATAATGACCAGATTTTGTTCATTAAAGTAGCTGAATTGCTTAAGTTTCAGAAAAATTTAAGGATTCGAACTGACAACCCTTCGAGTTAATATGTCAAATTGAAGTCATGAACCTTGCCAATTACTCAATATTGTTGATTAACGATCCCATTTTTAATTGACAATCACAAATCCATGTTAGAACGAGTGCTTAGTCAGGGAGAATTTTTAATAAATCTGTGAACTCCAAAATTCATATTCTTATTTCGCCATTGCGTTACCGCAACATACCACTCAGGGTATGGATGGGAAAAATTATTAAATAACACAGATATGCAAATATTTCTCTTTAATAAAGTTTTCATCTCCTTTTACACACGCTTCACTTGACTATCTAAAGTATTTTAATATTTTACATATATGCAAAGTTACGCATGTTTTTCAAAAAAATCTTTTGGAAAATTCTCAAGAAAGTCGAGTCAAGTTTCAATGACACTTAATTCCTTGTTGAGTCGACTGACGCATTTTTGGTATGAGATAACAGTAAAAAATGCCATAACAGATTACGAAAATCACATGAATCCTCTTAAAATCTGTTGAATAAAGTGCACAGTACGATACCTTTTGTTATTAAATGCCGATGGCTTTTAGAACGAGTGTAATAATGAGTTTGTATGTATTCATATGAAACATAAGAGCTTCTTGTGTATACAGACGTGAGAAACTTTACAAATGTATCAAAAACTATTATTATGCATGTAAAAACATGACTCATTCCACATACCTCTTTAAATAACAAGCAGTTTGAGTTTTTCTTATAGATGCTGCATACTGGATATATGAGTTTACAGGTTTGGTGAAAACTATGAAAATTAATTTTCATCGCATTTTAATAAAGTTTTTCGTTATATAAACAGAAACGTTAAATTTTAAATGAGTGAGTAACAAGGCGAAGATGATGAATTCAGAAAACATTAATTAGATGCTTTGTTTTAAAGGATCTTAAGACTTTTGGTTTCAAATTTTTGGGAATTCTTTTGATTTTATCTAGAATATTGTTACTAGAGAATCGTTGATCGTGAATGTTTTACAACTTCTAATGTGGTTTCTGAGGCTACTCAAGGTATTCAACGAAAATAACAATCAAATTTGGTTTGAGTTTCAAAATAGACTATGAAGTTTTGAAAATCAAGGTTAGGTTGCTCGAATTGCTTATTAAAGTAGTCCTTTTAATTTTTGTGTCTATCCACTCCCTCTTCCCATCTTTTACTTTAGCTAAATTATGTAAAGCAACGCTTTAACACTGTCTCTCTTTTAACAGAATGTAGATTTGTCTTTATATAGAAACTTTATATATGTAGATCAGTAGTGCACAACCTTTTTTAAACCACGGTTGCCCTGATAGTAAGCCATGATCAAAACCTGACACAGCATACGGTTCGAGAGATGTCCGGGAATTTTTTACGACACACTAGAGTGCCGCATCACACGGGTTGGAAATTACTGATGTAGATTCGTCAGATTTTACCTGATCTGTATAAATTGCCAGAATAAAATGCATTGATAACACACTAGAGTGTCGCATCACACGGGTTGGAAATCACTGATGTAGATTCGTCAGATTTTACCCGAACTGTGTTAATTTCCAGAATAAAAGACATTGATAAAGACAAAGTGTCTTGGCATTCATTTACTAAGCTTGTGAGGTATGTACACAATGAGAGTTTGGTCACTTCAGATAGCCAATAGCCATAAGTTTTCAAAGGGACACAAGATGACCCAGTACTAAGAGTGACTGTTGCAGACTTTATAGATGGCAAAAGATCTAGAGTAAAACTAAAGAATACCTGAATTGGATGTGTTGATAAGGACGCTAGAGTCCTTAATATCTCGAACTGGCAGAAGGTCTCGAAGGATAGAGCTGTCTTTAGACAATCTCTCAACGCAACAATGGACCACGTGCGCCCCAGCCAAGAAATTAAGTAAGTAGAAATTAAAATTTGTTATTAACCGAATTTTTTACAGCCATCAACCAGCAATGAATATATTTTCACCAAGTATTGAAAACAAACCTCCTTCATATCAAAGTAAAAGAAGTTCAAAGGGAGATTTTTAATTCTATAAACTTAAACATAAAAAAAATTATCACGTGAATGAAGATGAAATAAATAATTCAGAGCATAAGAAAGATAAACAAAATACCTCAAAAAGAGTAGATCCGTCAAGTGGAGTCTCTCTTTCAATACACAGGCTTTATGAGGAAGCATACAGCATTTCCTCCTTTTCATCGTCTCTTTTCACATTTCTCTATAACGCCTTCCAAGAATGAATGATGATGATGATTATGATGAGACTCTTATGCATGCATATTTATTTTCTTTTCATCCAACGCAGAAAAAAATAAATTGTTCCTTCATCTTATTTATCAAGCTTCTGAATGTAATAAATGAAAGGCGCAGTACAAAGTGAGAATATTTTATAATTAGTTAATTTCATGTTTTAATCCTCTCTTCATACATATATTTATTTAACATACTTCAGAACACATGTATGTATTTATGCTCCTTTCGGAATGATGATGAAAGCAACGGAAGCATATTCAAACCTCTTAATGAACTCGCACTGAAGCTTGTGCTTATGATTATTTTTAATTTAATTATAATAAATATGTGCAGTGGATTTCCCGATTGGCACATCATGGCAATGTCATCCAAGTGGACTCCACTTGGATGCCAATGGCGTGGCAATGGCAATTTTTTTAAAATAAAAATGTAATTGTTGCCACATAGTCTCCACTTTGTCGCCACTTGGCTGTTAAAAATTCCTAGAGAAATTAATTTTTTGTTTTTCAAATTTAATTTCTATTGGATGCCAAATAGCTACCACTTGGCTGATATTAAATGGCAATATTTTCCCACTTTTCAACTCAATTATTATTTTAACATATATTATTTTGAGATTTTCTGTTTAAAACAGCTAAACAGATATTCTCATAAAAATCATAAAAATTAGAAGATCTGCTCATAAATAAGTATGACAATGAATTCGTAAACAAAGCTTTTCCTATCAGGAATGCCAGAAATTCTTATTTAACGTTCCCTATCAAAGAGATTTCTGAAACAGTTTAAAATTTTATTTGTACATATCCTGGTTTTTCTTAAAAAGCTACTACTCGTTACTAAGCTACTAGTGAGCCAATAAAATCTCTTTTTTTATCTTCTAAGCTACCAGCTTATAACAAAAAAACAGGGTATATTCACTTAAAAAACTGATTTATAAAGTTTGAGACCTTAAAATGCGAAATCTTGTTTACATCAAGTTACTCTTTACTTTAAAAACTAATTTTAGTAAATCTACAAAATACCCAATCAAATCTATGGGATTCGGTTCAGCAATACTTATTTAAGTATGCCAATGATCTAATTGCTACTTTTAAAAAAATTCTGATGTTGTGCAGGAAAAAAATTCTTTATTTGGGCTTATAAGTCACATACATTTGTTGATTAACAACAATTATAAAACTAGTTTAGCAGTATTCTTTCCAGGTGTGAACGGAAGAATAAAGTCCGTTTTCCTCCTCATATAGATCAGCAGTCATATTCATGTCATATCTGAATCAAAAATATAAGACAGTAAAATTACTTAAGCAATGCTACAATTACTTATTAGCACTTAAGCAATGCCTGGAATCAAAACAAAAATTCCGCTGGATTTTCAGCAAAGTCTAAAGAGTGGTATGACTATTGCTGACTTTTCATACTATTTTATCCAAAAATAATATTAATGCATTTCTTGAAACTTGTTTTTAACGGTCAATTGAGGACTAATTTTTTTTTAAAAAATTGCAGTAATTAGACGAAAAGGACGAAATGGATAAAATTTTAAACTTTTTACAAGACAAAATCTAACACTTAAACACATCCTGTATTGCAATTCGTATTAATAAAATGAAAAACCATGTAAATCATATTTGGAATTGAAAATGGTCTTAAAAGTTATTAAGAAAAGGGACCTTACCTAGGTAATAAAGATAATTACCCTGTTTTTTCGTTATAAGCTACTCCTCGTTACTAAGCTATTAGTGAGCCAAAAAAAAAATCACTTTTTTATTCTTCTAAGCTGCTAGCTTATAACGAAAAAACAGGGTAAGAAGAAAAACATTTGTAGAGTTCTAGGATTTTTGAGCTATTTGTAAGGTTCTAAAGAAATTCAAATCAAATTTTACCGTTAAATTTTTAACATAATTTTGTCCATTTAGGTATGTTAATGCAGCAATTTTAAATTTTTTATAAACTCAAAAAGAACAAAATTGAATTTCGCACATAAAAAAATACATTTGGTCATATATCAATAAACAATAATGAAGATATAGCAAAATTCCCAAAAATTGTACGTGAGTGATGCTCAATTAAAGTGATTTTTTTTCGAGTAATTATAAAGTTTCAAGAAGTGAATTGTACAACAATAGATGGGGATTTTAATTCCCTTTTCAAAAAAGTAACTCTTAAATTTGTCACTTTTAAGGATAAGGAGATAATCAAGAATAACAAAGCGTCACTCACATACAATTTTTTTGTGATGAGGCCAAACTATGTTTAATGCTTCCATACGAATTAGTTGGTATTTATAGAATACATTGAACATAATAATCCGATATTTGATGGCTTTCCTAATACTATGGAACTAATATCCAGCTCTATTATTTCAGCATTTGTTTGTGTTAATTTATGCAAAAGATTCTTACGAAAACTAATGAAAATAAATCAAAACGATCATTTTCCATTTCTGCATTTTGCTTGCCATTCCAAAATTCTGCAGATTGTTTATCGTTCTCTCCATCATACACCACAACGACTTCCTTGTCTACTGAATCTAGTTTTAATTCCTCAATGATTTTCTCCTTAATTTCATTCGTCTCGTCTTTGATCTTTGCATAACAATTAGGACATAAGCAATCTCTACCAAGAAAATTTCTACAATTGTTACAGACTTTAATGTAAGGCTTATTTTGTAATGTTTTTTAATCCTCAGATCCTTTACGATAAGAAATTCTAATTTTTCTTGCTTTCCTTACTTCTAATGTTCTTCTAAACACAGGAACTGCAAACAGGAATCCATCCCCTTTTAGATCATTCAATGCATTTCTTGAGTTTTTTTTTTCAAAATGTTCCTGTGAATTAAATTAAACTAAATTATAAGCCTGGATCTAATACGTCTTTAAAAAATATTCGAATCATACAAAACTTACTTTCTTTAATTATTTTGTACGGATAATGGTCATGGCAATTGCTGACATTTCTGATCAGGAATAAATGATTATCACGTTATTAATTAAAATTTTACCACTGAAAAAACTTGTTTAAAACTTCCTTGTTTACTATGATCAATTAAAAAAAATTCAAATTATTGATGACAGTTAAGAGCAAAATTAGTTTAATTAATACGATAAATCTTACTTAAAATAATCGAATCATTGATGTACGTCATACATTTTTACATTTCTGTTAACTACTGACTTGTTAAACAGTTACTTCATTTTTACTGGAAACAAAAATTCAAATTTTATACTTTTTAAAATCAAAGACGACTTTGAAAATTTTCCGTTGAAGTTCAATCCAAAAAATTTCACAAGTGAAAAATTCATCAACGCAAAATTAAAGTTTTTGAAGGAAATATAAGCCTTTAAAGTAAGTATAAAGTGAAATTTGGTACATTAAGTGAAAAGTGAAAAGAAAATTTCAAAATTAATGGAAACTCGAGCGTTTGAGACGAAAAAAATTGATAAAAGATTTTCAATCAAAATTTTCATCTATATTTTTTAATTGAATTCATTTCTTTCTTTTAAAAATGGATAGAGCAACTCAACTAATCATTTTATTTGTATTTTTACTCCCGTTTCACTTGATTTATGTTGAAAAACAGCTAAAATGCCGACTTTCTGTGATTTTTTCTCTTTGCTTTAAGATATTTATACATTTTTCATTTAATTTCTCATATAATGTTTCAGGATTTATTAATCAAGAAATACGTTTCAACAAGCTCTAAGGTCGTCTTCTCTTGGCATTTGTTTTTTGTGAGTTGACATTCGATATGGTAAGTCCAATTTTTTCATAATAAAATCAAGAAAGTTCAAGAAAAATGGGAAGAAAGAAGAAAATTATCACAGCATTAAGGAAAAAATCTCTGCAAATGAAAAAGAGTAATTTCAAGAAAAAATATGAGAAATTGAAGAATAGAATTACAATCAATGCTGAAAAATTCGATGAAAATAGGCAGATTGTTAATCATTCTGATTTTTTCAATATAAATTCAGGAATAGATTATAATGAAAACTGTCCAATTTCTGCTTGTCCGTCAGTTTTATCTCATCTTACTTGTGATGAGAATGAGAAAGAGTTTGATGATGGCACTGATCACATCAAAAATTGTTTAAGACATGTAGCTTTAAAATTTAATATGCAGAAATCTTGTGTCACTAGTTTGTTGAAAGGAATCGGAAAAGTTTATCCCAATTTACCAAAAGATTACAGATCACTACTTAAGACCCCAAGAAAAACAAAGACTAGAAAGATTGTACAGGGAAAGTATATTCATTTTGATTTGTTAAGTACATTAAAAGTTTTATGTCCCCAAAGCTCTAAAGAAAACATAGTGGTTTGTGATTTTTTTGTGGATGGTGTATCATTTTTCGCCGACACTCGAAAAAAAAGCTTTTGGGTAATATTGGGACGTTATCAGGGGAAAATTTTTCCAGTCGGGTTTTTCCATGGGAAAAAGCAACCACAGGATTTTAACGATTTCCTAAAAGATGTAGTGGGGGATATAAATAAATTGTCACAAGGTTTTTATATTGAAAATAACTTATATTTCTTGAAAGTTGGCAATTTTTGTGCTGATACACCAGCTAAAGCACACATATGTCATACAGCTCACGCTACTGGGTATAATTCATGCAAGCATTGTCATATTGAAGGTTACTATAGCCACAGACGCATGATTTTTGATGAAGTTGGTCACAGAAGAAGAACTAATGAAGAATTGTCAGCTCAAACTGATGTTCAGCATCATAGAGGAAAATCTATTCTAGAATCAGAACTAAATCTCGATATGATCAATCAATTCCCAGATGATGTACTTCATATTGTTTATTTAGGCGTTTTTAAGAAAATGTTGAAAAGATTGTTTGGTCAAGATAAGCCAGAATTGCCCAGAAAATGCAGAGAAGCAGTTTCGGAACGAATGAAAACATGCAATCAATTTATTGTTTCCGAAATACACAGAAAATTGAGACCTTTAAATGAAGTGGGATCATACCACGGGAATGAATGCAGAAATATTTTATTAAAGTTGGGGCCAGCTCTATTTTATGGATTGATTCCTTATGAATACTATAGGAACTTTTTGCTTCTTCATGTCGGTATTTCCATTCTTTGTGACAAAGAACTTTGTTTGGTAGAAAATGAAACTGCAAATCTCATACTTCTAAAGTTCATTAATGATTCACTCAATATTTATGGCATTACTTTTGCTACGCTCACTACACATTTACTAGAACATCTCTCTGAAACAGTTTTAGATCAGAAAATGCCATTAGATGCATTTAGCTGCTTTCCTTTTGAGTCATACTTGTATGATATCAAAAGATGCATTCACAAAAAAGGAAAAGTTATACAGCAAATTCATCGGCGCGTCATTGAAAAATTTTCTTACGATGTAGATAATGGTGCCTGTGTCTCACACGCAAGCGAAATTAAGTATATTATACGCAAAAATGAATATAGATCTGTTTTTTTGGATGGGAAAAAGTTTTCAACTGAAGGATGTCGCGATAGATTTATTTTAGATAGGAATAATAAAATATTTGTAATAATGAAAATTTTCAAGGATGATAGTAAATATCCACTTTTTTATTGTCGACAATTGGGAGCTCTAGAAAATTTGTATGTAAAACCGATTGAATCTTCTGTCCTTGATATCTATAAATGTCAAACAAAGTACTGTACTTTTAAGCTTTACAAAATTCCGTATAATGCCGTTAAATATAAGATGCAAGGAATTCCGTTTGATGAATTTTCAATGGTTTTCGTGCCTATAAAAGATTTTTAAACTTGGGTTTATATGTCGTAAAGTTACAGTTACGATCATTTTAAATTAATTTTGTAAATATTTTATATTATTTTTATTATTAGTTTGCTGTAGTGTCTGGAACTTTGGACGATGAAGTATTTGTCGTTCCAAAATCATGGATTTTCGAAGATGACATTAAAGGCATATGTACTTTCTACCCAGAAAAAGGGAAAGTCAAAAATTTGGTAATGACTTCTGTCGAACCTGAGAATGACTGGAAAGTCATTGCAGTATCGTTGCTAAAGGATAATATAGGTAATTTTATAATTCTTTCTTATGTATCAATTTTTTTTTATTTTAATTTCTCTCTACAGCTTCATATCAATTAGCACACGCTTCAATGCTTACTCGAACATTATACAGTAACACAGCGTCAGAAAATGAAGCAAAAACGAAAGCTAATCGTCATAAGAATGCTGTTAAGCGATACTCTTCTGATGAATACGATTTCAATTCTTTTCTGAGCAAGGTAAATTGATAAAATTGTAATTTTGTTTTAATACTTTATGTAATACCTTGAAAATCTAATTTATTTAAAGAAACAAAGACCAAGTAAAGCTGTGACAGAGATCTCCAAAGACGTGAAGCCCAAAAAGGTTAAAAGCGTAGGTTTTTGCTCTGTTTTAAAAAATATTTTGTGTGTTGTTAATTTTAATTATATTATTTGTTAGATTCAGAAACCGAAATTATTTGTACCAAAAATGGATGCTAAATCATCTTCAAACGCTGCTTCTCTGGTAAATATTAAGTTTTGTTTTAATTTTAATTTCATTTCAGTCGGAAAAGTCCTTTTTTAAATAATATAATCTTTTCGTTTCACAGCCATCATCCATACTACCAAAAAAGTCTTCAAAGCCAATCGTTGCATCCTCAAATGAGGACATGGTAAATATTTATTGTTTGTTTTGTAGCAACTCTTATTTTTAATTGACTTTTCTAATCCTTCCTTGATAAGTTTGCAACACAACAATCGGACGATTATAACTCTCAAGAATACAGGCAATCTTCTTCACCGAAAAATCATCTATCGAACAAATATGGTGAAAGTTCCAAAGGTTTCACTTTAAGATTGTCTCCACATCATTCTAACGTTAACATTTCTCAGGTTTGTATTTATATTTTATGAGAACATAAGAACATATTAATGGGCCATGACATATTTTCGAAATTTCGTTTTAAAATTCTTGAATCTGTTTTGCACTACACATAATAATAATAATAATAATTATTCATTTCATATGAAGGCACGAAATTAATTGTTTAAAAAATTACAAAAGTCTTCGTGTTTGACGCAGCGATCAGTATTTGATTGATACACAAAAAATCACTAATTATAGTATATTTAACAATTTATCTTTAATTCTCATATATAAATTTCTGAAGTTCAAATTTCGTAACAGCCATATGCATTTGAGAGTATCATGCCAAAAGTTACAGAAAAATTAAACTTTAATTAATAGTATATATAACAGTTGGTTCTTAGCCTTTCAAAATGCATAGATTCATTAGAATAACTGATCGACTTTAAAAAGTTAAGCATTGATAATTAAATTAAATAATGTGTGCATAAATTACGCAAATGTTTTGTAATTTGTGAATGAATTTTGTAAATTCCATCATGGAATTATCTTTAATCTTTTAAAGATTATGTTAATGCTTTGGTTTATACTTACTTGAAATGACAATATTTTCTCTGAATTGAAATATTTTAGATCGAAAAAGATCAAGAGGTTGATCTTCCCGGTATGAATAAAGATCAGTTCTTAATTTTAAATCAAAAATTGGATGATCTAACAGCAGTCGTCATGAATCTTAATTCTAAATTTTGTAAAATGACTGCATCAGCAAATGTTGACGATGAATTTAGTCCTGAACAAATTAAATCCATCAAAGAACTAAATGAACGTGAAAATCTCTTACTGAAATCACCAAAAGATGAAGATGCAAAAATTCTGAAAAATAACTTGGTAAGTGTCTTAATTTATTAATTTTTATGCAATTTTACATCCACAATGAACTGAATTGTATTTTTTTTTAAAAAATTTTCAACTGTTTTGTAAATGTTAAACCTTAGCGGTTTTGTGTGGTTTGAATTTTACTCCTTTGAGTTTTGCCCTCTTTGTTTCAACATAAATTTCAAAATTGTAAAAACCGTTAAATTGTCAACACAGCATAATGATAAAACAAGGAAGAGTATTAAATCATTGATATAACTTTTTAAAGATTTTACTTAAATAAACAGTTCATTGTTCATGAACAAAGAATATAAGACTAGTAATTAAGGTAATTTTTTAAAAGTGGTCGTCACTAATTAATTGTTTTGTATTTATATTTTAGATAGGATACTATTACACTAAAATAAGAAATCGAAGCTCTCGTGGCGAAGATAAATATGGATTGATGGCATCC